AATTAATTTTATTTTTTTATCAAAAAACCAAGAACTGTCTTCTGCGTATAGACGGCGTATGATCTGCATTCTGAACGCGTATGAAATGCGTATACTATGCGTATTTTGGATACCTAAATGAAAACCTTCTTAATCGATTTGAATTAAGGATCAATTGTGGGAAACCCTATATTCGACGTTCATTGCTGGTTTTATTGATGAGGAGGTGCATTCGAATTAATTTGACTCCCCTCCACATACTCTAATGAATGCTCCACCATAGGAGCATAATCCCACACTCTAGAACCATCACTTGTGTAGCACAAGGGTGTACACAAACAACAAGTCTCATTGAGAAATTCTTTCAAATAATTTTCAAACGATGCTAAAATGAGTATTTGAAATGATTCATACAGAAAGAATGCATCGAATCATTTAAATTCTAATTAATTTGATTTTTTTATCAAAAAACCAAGAACTGTCTTCTGCGTATAGATGGCGTATGATCTGCATTCTGAACGCGTATGAAATGCGTATACTATGCGTATTTTGGATACCTAAATGAAAATCTTCTTAATCGATTTGAATTAATGATCAATTGTGGGAAACCCTATATTCGACGCTCATTGCTGGTTTTATTGATGAGGAGGTGCATTCGAATTAATTTGACTCCCCTCCACATACTCTAATGAATGCTCCACCATATGAGCATAACACCCACACTCTAGAACCATCACTTGTGTAGCACAAGGGTGTACACAAACAACAAGTCTCATTGAGAAATTTCTTTCAAATAATTTTCAAACGATGCTAGAATGAGTATTTGAATGATTCATACCGAAAGAATGCATCGAATACATTAAATTCTAATTAATTTGATTTTTTTATCAAAAAACCAAGAACTGTCTTATGCGTATAGACGGCGTATGATCTGCATTCTGAACGCGTATGAAATGTATAATATGCATATTTTGGATACCTAAATGAAAACCTTCTTAATCGATTTGAATTAAGGATCAATGGTGGGAAACCCTATATTCGACGCTCCTTGCTGGTTTTATTGATGAGGAGCTGTATTCGAATTAATTTGATTTTTTATTAAAAAACCATGAACTGTCTTCTGCGTATATACGGCATATGAGCTGCGTCTGCAATGCGTATGGTTCGCGTATAGAGTGCGTACTTTAATTTCCACAATAAAAATTTCTTAATCGATTTAAATGAAGGTTCAATGGTGAGAAACATTATATTCAACACTCCTTTATTGAGGAATTCTTTCTCAAATCATTTTAAAACGATGCTAAAAACACATGAAATCTTTCTTAATTACAAGAAAAATATACCAGTTATGTACATAAATTTAAAATATGAAAAGTTCATTTCATTACAGCACAAAATAATCCGTATGCAAATTATGCTCTATATTTTTGCATTTTTTCTTGCCAATCCGTTCTCTCTTGCCAGTTAGAGTTGTTTTGTCGAACAATATTATCCATGTATTTGCAAATGAACATACCACAATCTGTATTGTTGGTCTGAGTTGGCACCTTCTTCATTGTCTTGAAACTCCATTTAGTGATATTTTGACGAAAGGCTTTTTATGCAATCCTTATTTAAGCTTGCAATCTAAACAATATATGGAATAGAATTAAGTCACTTAAAAATAATCACGAAATTTTTAAACAATTCAAGATTAGAATCAAACTCACTATCTTCACAGCAATACTTCTATGCATAGGGTTGGGTATAGAGTCGTAAAATTCCCACCTTTTCTGCTTTATGTAACCAGCTAAAAGGGTCCAATGCTGTCCGTGAATAATTGGATTAATTATAATACTGCATGACTGAACAGAATTGTAGTCTATGTGCTCGAGGAACAATACTGATTTTACATCCTTAACCTTGTAATGCTGCAAAAATTAAATATAAGAATTAAATAGTTCAAATAAAAAATTATATATAAAATAAACTAGTATACTAATCCAATACATGGGTGAGATGTATATATATTTTTGATACTCATCTGGTGAAATTTTAGCCTTCTCATTTAATAAAATGGCAAAAGCATCAACATGGTCATTGTCCAGGTAACTGTCTGATAATATTTCGTCGATCATGCGTCTTGAAATCATCATGTTCCCAGATTCAAATACACGCATGCCACTGAAATATTTAAACAAAAAATACGCATAAGGTACGCATAGAAAAACACATTAAATACGCAATCAGTACGCATAGAGTACGCAAGCCGTACGCAAGTAATACAACATACGTGTCAAGATATTTCTTTATGTTTTTTCGAAGAAAAACTTCCTGCACTGGACTCAACATTTCAATTTTTCTGAAAATGTATCACACATTGTTCTGAAAGTCGAAACATAGCATCTATATGATATAGGACGGACGTAAATCTGCGTAGAATAAGAAATTATAATTAATTTAGAGAAGCATATTATAAGTACGCATATAAAGTGCAATAAAATACGCATATTATACGCAACGTGTACGCATACCATACGCAACGTGTACGCATACCATAGGAGTTGTGTACGCATACCATACGCGATGGGTACGCATACCATACGCAATGTACGCAAAGGATGAGAAAAATATCAGCAAAAATCTAGGGTTTAGGGTACACTAATCGTTTTTCTTTATTGGAAGTTTAGTTTTATGATTTAAAGATAAAAAGTACTTATTTTAAAATGTTAGGTTTTGTCTTCAACATATACGTAGAAAATAAGTGAAATTTATGCAGATTATACACATTGTGTACAAAGAAAATACGCATAAAGAACAAAAATGGTGAGATAAATTTAAACTTTTATTGTTACTCGGAATGATTTAAATTTATTTTTTGGTTTCTTCAGCAAATACGCGTTGAATACCAAAGATCTCCGTAGTTCATTTTATGTCAATGTAAGAATTTTCGCACCTTTCTCTTTGCAGGTGAATCATTTTCCGCGTCCATGATGAGAAGAAGAGATTGCCGGAGGAATTCAGCGAGAGTTTTTTGCTGCAAGCTCGGGAGAAATGGAGCGAATGGCCGAAATGTGAAATTTGGAAAATGTTAAAATTTTCCGCCTTTTTCATTGTATATACTGGGCAGGCCTCGTATTATTTACTCTCGAAAATACAAACGAGTCGGGTCTTAACTTTCCACGTAAGCTGGCCACTCGTTATATTTTTATTGGCTACTATTACAAATCAAATACATCGTTGTGATCGGATTCCACACAGAATAATTTCTCCTTTTCTGTGACCCACCACCATCCTTCCGGCGCAATATAAAAAGTCAGACCTCTTTTCTCCTGCCGCTGCTTCGGCTGCGACCGCGACTCCTCCAAACCGGCATCCATCCTCTCGTTCATGTCCATCTCCCCAACCGACGCCCAAAGATACGTTTCGAATCCTTCTCGTCGTGATCCAGAACAAAACCCTAGCTCGGGCCATGGCATTCTCCCTTCTCAACAGAACGTTTGCTCTTTCGGGACTCGGACCAACGGGTCTTCGTCGATCTCAGCTGGATCGGCGCAGGATTCCTCCGCGGAGCAACCACGCATATGTCCAGTCGAGATATGTGGTGAGTTCTACGTGGATCCCCTAAATTCACCAATTTTGAACTGTCGGGAAAAGATTCCGTCTGTTTTCATTTTTTTTTATTTGAGTTTTATTTGATTTGTTTGATTTGTTTTTATTTTTGTTTGAGTTTGAGAGAGTTTTAACTTAGTGATTAGGGTTTCGAAGGGAAAAATTGCTTGATATTATTTGTTCAGAATTTATTACGATCGTTTATAGTTGGTTGATGGTGCAATGCTTTATGGTGCAAAATGTTTGCCATTAAAAGAGAAGAATAATATTTAAGTTAAGTGTTGCAGAGATGAGGATGCTCAGGTTACGTGAAAAGGTTTGAGTTGCTCTAGTGGAAAATAAGATTAGAGAGAGTCATCTTAGATGGTTTGGTCACATGAAACGGCGGCCTTCCGATGACCCAGTTAGGAGAGTAGATGTATTAGATTTGGCTTATGTTAAGAAAGGTAGAGGTAGATCTAAAAGTCGTGGTTAGAAATATTAGAAATGATCTTTTTTTAGTAGATTTAAATGAGATTTTACTCTTAACAGGATATAATGGAGAAAAATAATTCATGTAGCCAACTCCACATATTGGGATAAAAGCTTATTGTTGTTGTTGATAGTTTGATGATGGCATTGTATTTGTGTTTATTAAGTTCATATGTGAGCGTTTTTTATTCTGAATTACCACCAAGATGATGGAGCTCTTAGTTGAACCATATTTTACCAAATTGTTCTTAGAACTATACTTTGATTGCTTCTATCAACTATTCTAGAGAATTAGTTATAGTTTTTATTGATTTGATAGCCAGACAATCAATTGGAGCATTTTCTTCGAGAAAGGCATGTGACACATGTTGAAAACATATGAAGATGAAGACAATATTCAACTAATCATGAGATTTCATGTCATATAATTGAGAAGAATTTGTTGGAAGCATGTATGAGTCCATTGAAACATAGAGATAGGATTTTTAGACTTCCATTTATAATGCAACATTTTACAGTGGGAGAGAGTCTTCTTGTCACTCTATAAGATATGAGCAAAATGAAAGAATTGCTGCTTAGACTATGAACCAATATTTGTTATATTGTATTTTGTTTTATTTTTGCTCATCATAAAAATAAAATAAAACATCCAATTACTATGCATAATACGTTTTAGACAATTAATGAGATGTTTCAAAAGCCCAATAATAATTAATTCTCAATTTATTTTTAACATGCTAAGAATTAGGTGGTGCATCATGTATAATTAATTATTATATTCAAACTCACATTAGAAATTTCCCAACAACATGCGCTTCCTCCATCTAATGAACCAACTTATGATGTTGTGTTCGCGCCCTCCCCTCAAAAGGGCAATGTGAAAATTTTTGCAGTACTTACTCCAAATCTTATGGTGACATAATGATTTTAAAAAATGAGGTGAAACATAAAAAAGATTGTTCAGCTAATTACTCCAAAGGTTCTCTTTTGGAGACAAAAGGCGATCTTGAAAGATTAGCTTAGTTACTTCCTTCCGTATTTAATGAAATAAAAACAGCCATCTTTGGGATAGTTGGGATTCTGTGATTAAGAGATCAGAAACATAAACAAGATATAAATAATTTAAAAAAAAAATTCTCCTAGTTGAACAATTTTCAAACAGATTGCTCCTACTAGTTTCAAGTGGATTACACCTAACCGAGCATTATTTATTCATTACATATGTCCTGTTATTTTCTTTTGTAATTGCATAAATGTCTCTTGCACTTCTAATTTTCTTACATTAGCAACCTCCCCTGCACTCATAGTCACTCCACCCTTGCCTACACAAAGGGTGAATGATCAAATACTTAGAAGAGCTTCTTTTTCATCTACTTTGAACCTTTCTTCTTTTTAGTTCTTGATTTTCTAAATTACAATTCATGGATCAAAATCAATGAAGCCAAGTTAAAATTCCAAATATACTTGTTTTAGGTTCATGCACATTGCTTCAATCACTTTGTTCTTGTGAGACTCACTTTTATTACCTGGGCTTTCAATTCATCATATCTTGACATGATCTTTGGCTGAGTAGGCTTATATTAAGGGATTTAGCTTATCCAAATGGATCCTCTTGTAATATGACATAAATAGAAATCATTTTCTTTGTTCAAGCTTATCTAGATTACTTGGTGGTCCTGCCAACGAATCTTATTTCGTGGACTTGGATGACTATCATGCGAGAGTTTGTAACTTATATAGCTACCAATGTCTTACCCCCAAGCACCACAACAAAGAAGTCATTTTCTCTGAGTGCAATCTCTCAGAGGCATGAAATCTCCTAAGTTTTAAAACATGTATTTGTAATCTCATCACAAAGAAGTCAATACAAAATAGAAATCTACACATCATACATTGCTTATAGTGACGCATGCTAATGAGAAAGTTTCTGTGGCCCCATTCTAATATATTTTCTCAATAAGCAAATTGACTCCAAAGTCCTCATATTAAGACCTTTAGAGCCATGCATACTTTGCCATAAAAGAACTTTGAAGATGTGGTCCACTTAAACAATAATACCTTTGATTTCAAAACATTTGAAAAAAAAACTAAAAAAGCATAGATTATTGCACTATGTTAACCAAAATAAAGCACCCAACAAGAGACAAAGGTTGTATCGCCCATGAAAGGACTCGTTTTGTTAACTTCATCTATCAAATCTTTGAAATTTGATGTAAGCAAAGCCCCCCTGCTTTTCCCGGTTCTCCTGGATGATTGTTCGGCTTCTGCTCCTACTCCTTGGCTTCCAGGTTCCCCTTGCTAGCTGTTCGGTTCCTGCATGGCTTTCCTGGTTCCCTTGGCATTTGGCTGTTCGGTTCTGCATGGTTGTCCCGGTTCCCCTTGTGGCTGTTCGGTTCTGCTCTTGGCTTTCCAAGTTCCCCTTGTTGATGTTTGGTTCCTGCTCCCTTGATGTGGTTGTTCGGGTGGGGGTCCAAACTTGCCTTTAATGCTTCTTTTTTCTCTCCTTTTGTTGATTGTTTTGAGCGGTTGTGTGGGTGTCCTTTGGGCTGCATCTATCCTATTTAAAGGGGAGTTTTGGGCGAGTTTTAGATAGAGTTATGTGCTGATTTTTGGAGAAAGAAAACCTGCGGGTTTTATTCTAGCTTGCGAGCTAGCTTCGTTTCCCTTTCCCCTCTGCTGTTTTGTCTCGGATTTTTTACCTACTTCTCTCTGCAAGTTGCCACCCCATTTGTATCTTTCTTCTCAATCAATGAAAAGTTTTTAGGTGTTTTTATGTTCTAATGTTGTGTTTATCGTGTGAGTTGTATGTGTTGTCCGTTCTAAAATATATAAAAGTTTTAAAGTGTCTTTTTATTTGAAGTTGTAAGGAAAGTTTGTGTTTGTTAAAGTTATTTTGAAAGGAAGACATAGTTCTTTGCATTCTTAGTTTTCCTATAAAATTTTGGTTTCATCATTACATAGCCTAGGTTGGTAAATCCTAGGTTTGTGTGTGAGTCTTCTCTTTCTAAAATTAGAAGTGGCTCAATCAGCACATAGTGGAGGTTCTGAAGCTATCTCATCAGGGGATGAGATTCTTCCATCAGGGGAGAATTGATGTTGGCAAAGCCAACCTTTTGGTGTTCCCCATGCCAATTTTAATTCCCAAAAGCTGCCTTATCGGTTTCCCCCTTCCCTATGCTGCTTCCCCTTCAGTTTTTGTGTGATGCTTTGAATTCCTTGCTTATTAAATGCTGTGAGTTGCTTCGGATTACCCCCATTGGCTGTTGTGTTTCTTCGGTTTCTTCACCATACGGCTGCCCCTTCGGTCCCTGCTTCCTGCAGTTTTCAAGGGTATTCTATTGGTTGATTTTGAGGTGCATTAAATATATGTATTTTAGTTATCTTTTTTACCTTTTCTTCCCCTATATAAGGGTTGTTTTGTGGCTGTTTTAGGGTAGTAATGGATATGATAATTTGTGGAATGTAAAACCTGCGGGTTCTTTCTAGCTTGTGAGCTACTCTTCTACTTCTCTTCTTCTTCTAATTCATCTCGGATTTCTAATCTCCTTCTTCTCTGGATCCACTCTACATGTATCCTTCTTCTCTAGCTTTATAAGTTGTGTTGTCCTGTTTTGTTATAAGTTATAAGTTGTGTTGTTTCTTATTTTAATATAACTTGTAAGTGGTTTCTATTAGAAGTTGAAAACTTTGTTATGTCCTATTTAGTGTGTTTTGTCATTTTTAAGGAAGACAAGTCAATTTTATATGCAATCTTAGATTCCTATAATTTGGTTGCATCAAAATCTTTCTTTAGAAACCCTAGTAAATGAACTCATAAGTCATAACCCAAGATAGTTTGAAATCCTATCTCCAACCAAAAAACCTATCAGTTGACAAAGCTATGATTTGCACCTGATAGGAATAGATAGGCTGTGTTTCTCTAAATGAAATTAATTATTTTCTCTGAGAGCAATCTCTTAGAGGTTTTGAAATGTTGTGAAGTCCACATGATATTCAAAGGGAATAGTTCATGGTATGATGGAAAACAATTATATACCATTTTATTTCATTTCTAAAAGGGATGCTCTATGGTGGTAGGATTTTCCGAAATGGGATTTGGATATCCTTATTGTTGGTGGAGAAAAATCAAATGGAAGAAAGGCATGGCTGCTCTTAAAATGAATTTCCTATCCAATAAAATTATTTTGGTGGATTAAATATTATTGCTACAATTTTGGCAGCATAAGGGATTAGTTTCATAAACATGGAAAATAATGCAAAGTTTAAGTCATTTTAGTAGTTTGATTAAATCAATGCAAGTTTTTTAGCGTCATCATAAGCATGATGTGCACCTTTTTTTTAAGTATGGGCATTAAATATAGTCAAACTTGACTCTTATTTATATAACTATACACTTTAATAGGCGGGGGAGGTCTTTGTTAAAAAAAAATTAATAGAAATGTTTTTATTGAAAGTCAATAGTGTAGTTTGTGGTTTCATTATTTTAATGAGCAGTAACAATACTATGATTACATTCCTTTTTGACTAAATATCACTATTTTAATATTTGTCTTATGAATCTCTTATATATAACTAAATATTTTTCTGCTTTATGATTGTAGGATCAAATCAAGGAAGTTTTGATGATTCGCCTAGTGCATCGAAAAATGTGAGTTAGTTTATTTTGGACTAAATTATTCTATATTCTGAATTGTCTTTTTATTTAAACAAGTCATAAATATTTGTATAAATCATTTTAGCTTGTATTTTGCTATTTTACAAAGGGAAACTTTATTTTGCTATTTTACAAAGGGAAATTTGTATGATCAATGCTGTTTATGCTCACAAATTCAACATTGATTACCACTTGTGTCTGTGTGGTATACGTTGTAAGTAATATTTGTACATGTCATTATTCTTTGAAAAATAGTAAGCAGATGCCATATCTATTAGGTGGTGCCGACCGCTATAAAGTTTATGAGCATAAGAGGAATTGCTAAGGTGGTCTTGGTATCAATCCCGTGTTACATAGAAATCATCCTACTTTAATAAATGCTTTTCACATAGAAATCATCCTACTTTAATAAATGCTTTTCTAGGTTCTTCTTCAAGTTTTAAATAAGTTTCATATACTTTAGTTAAATGTTAAACAAGTCATTTTCTATTGTTTCTTATAGGTGCATTTCTTACATAGCTCCTTTCAAAGTGTAAATAGATTTTTAAAATGACTTTTTTCATTCAATGCTTTTAGATTACTAATGTATATTATGTAACAAAATTTTTCATTAGTGAAGTAATTAAGTTATATGGGTTGTCTAGAACCATACAATTTGATAAAAATGTCATATTTGTTTCTCATTTCTGGATGATCTCATGAAAATTGTTGGGTACTACCTTTGATTTTAATTGGCTTTTTCCCTCAAATTAATGTTTAGGCTCAAGTAGAAAATAAGTCTAGGAAATCTATTGGGATGTTTGGTTTGGAAAATGTCTTGATAATTGTGGTATGTATCTTCCTATTGGTGACTTTGTATATGACAGCATTGTATGCTAATCTACAAGCAAGATACCAATTGAGATTGCTTGGGATTGAGCCCTAGAAAGATTATATAACTCATCCTTTTATCAGTATATGCATACCTTGATTATGTTGCATTTTTTGCATAACAAATACTAATCTACATGATAAGGTTAGAATGAATGTTGACTTTCATAAAATGAACTCTTATGCTGTGAAAAAGAGAACCTTGATAGTATAATGAATGTAACTTTATAATGACTTGTATATGTTTCAAATGCTCTATGCAAATTAGGCATAATAAATTGCCCGTGATCCTTTCAAAATAAATATGAATGATTATTTTTTAAATATATCTTCTAAAATATTTAAGTCATATTTTTATCATTGAAAATATGTTATCCATTCGAGGAACATTATCTAAAATATTTAAGTCATATTTTTATCATTAAAAATATGTTGTCCATTCGAGGAACATTAATACCTAGAAATGCTCATTCATTTATCCATAGGATGGATATCTACTATAGTCATTGCCTCTGTAAATCCCATTATTCAAGTTTCATCTGCCTACTTGGATGTCAGTTTAGATGAAGTGATACATGAAAAAAATGCCAAGCATAAGTTTTTAGTTAGCTAAACTGGTATACCTCCTTCAGATGATACATAAATGATCAAGAATGAACTATAGAAGCTAGCCCCTAGTTTGTTGAATGACTACATGAATATTAACTCTCTAGAGGTAAGTTCTTTGCACTCCAAGAGAGTTCATGCAATTTATACCGCTAATTAGATCATACCAACCTGCAAAAGCCTAATTGGTAATCTAGCAGTTACATGAAGGGGCTGTTTGGTTGCTTGAATTAAGAGTGTAAAGTAAAGCAAATACATGCATTTATTAAATTTGGTTGTTTGGTTAATTTTGAGGGGAACAAAAGAAAATCATCTGAAGCATTAGGAGTATATTGTGGGAGCTGTTTTGCGGGAATTAGAAACCCGCTCATATTGAGCGGGTTATAAAATCGCTCGATGAAGAATTCGCAAGCGTGGTTGCTGTTCGGCTTCATTTCTTTTGCAGGAGGTGTAAGATTGCATGAGAGGCTTCTACGGCTCCTTCGTTCTTGTTCGACTTCGCTCCTTCGACGACGTTACCTTTGTCTGTCTGATCAGAAGTTGCGCCATTTTCATTGGACAGAAGCTCGCAAGTTTGCATCGTCGTTGTTGTTCGGCTTGAATATAATTCTGGTTCCCACCCGAGACCCAACAACCCCGCCGTGCCAACAAAAAGGCCACAGTTTTGGCATCCGCATCCGATAGCCACTTCGCCGACGACGATGGCTTCGAATGTTAACGTCTCGAGAGCCAGGGTACCGCGAGTGTACGACAAGTCGCTGTACACTACTAGGTACTCTCCGGTGCCGGAGAAGACGTCGGAGGTGAAGTCGGTAAGTTTCAGCCATATATCTTGGGTGGGCGGCGCTGGGTTGAGGAGAGGAGTTCGTGAACGTTGAGGTAATCAAAGTCTAAGCCTCTGGAGCAATTAAAGAGGGTAATTAGGTGTATTAAAAGCAAGCAAGCAAGCATAGCCATAGCCATAGCTCTCTCTCGTAGGTGTTGGAGCGTGTTATAGAGGAAGGAGATTGAAGGCAGAGAAGGTGGAGGATGTTATTTGGAACTCTCCAATTGAATTTGCATTACAAAATGCAGCTGCTCATGTTACTGAAATAGTTTAATTGGTTGAATTAAGGTAATTTTATCTTAATTCGATTTAGATTTAAATAAATTAAATTATATAAAAAAATTTATAACACAAAATAATAATAATTATTATAAATATAATGTTTTTATAAAAATAGTTTTTATAAAAATACTTATTTTAATGCTAAAATAAATTATTACAAAAAAATGCTTTTACTTTACTCTGGATATACCTAACCAAACAAGGGAAAGAATTCTCCTGGGTTTATTTTGCATACAACCAAACAGGCTCAAAATATTTAGAATGCATTACATTTACTTTACATTGCATTTATTTTACACTGTATTTCTTTTTCAAGCAATCAAACAGCCCCGAAGTCAAACATGGTCAAATAGGAATCATGCCCATTTTCATTCTTTTTTATGCCTTTCTATTTTTTGCTACATTTTTTTTAGTTGATTTATTTTGTCAGGTTCAATTATCTTATTTTGGATAATAGCAGGTATGAATTTGACTTTTTAGATAAATATTTGATCTTATATTTGTAACCCTACTTAATAAACAGGAATAATTACTTATAATTGAAATTGAACATGAAAGAATGAAATCTTATTATTTGTGAGGCCAATTGATTGCTCTTAATATACAAGTTGTGTACATGGATCGCTCGAAGTTTCTTTCTTGCCCCATCTCCATCGAGTTGTTAGCTCTAACACACCTGAGAGTATGTTGATTTGGGGTATGTGTCTGTTAAATCTCAGCCTTCCGTTGCAAAACTGATCCCATGACCATGAACAGTGATCCATGTGAAGCCCTGCTGACTCACGTTGAATGCCTTCTATAACTAGACATCTGATTTATGAAAGATTTTATTTCAGTAATTATTTTGTAGTTATTTGTTTCTTCATTAGACCTTGTATAGATGTATAAATATGGAGTATATTGTATAATAAAGTAAGCTTTTCCCTTTCCAATTTTCTGAATTTAACAGTGTCCTTGGCAGTAGTTATTTTTGCCCCCAATTTGAGAGGGATGTTCGTTGGTGCCAGGGTATGCATCATTGGTAGGGATAATATAGCCTTCCAAGAAAAGTTTTTACATGTTAAGAATGTTTCATAAAAGTTATGGTAATAGCTTTTAAATTCAGTTATATACTTATATACAATGCTATTTTCTATGTTTATGATTGCGGGATAAAAGGGGTTATCAGAGACTTAGTTCAATGGCAATGGTGATGGGGGATGATATGCTTGACTAGCTTTATCAGTACTATTGGAAGATGGTGATTGGCTTTTTATGTGCAATGCCGTTTATTGTGTGTGCATTTGGCAAGTTAAAGCTGTACAGGAACCATAGTTAGTCCTATTTTAGGCTTTTACAACAACAAAAGAGGAATGAGATTACAATTGAAGTGAAATTACTAGTGTGATAAAGAATTAAGCGGAACCAGGTATGGTTCTGATACCTACCAATTTGTAGTTCTTTAGAAAATGAAGTGGCAAAGAAGGATCACAATGTTGGATTTTCATTGTTAAGGCTTTCAATACTGTACTCTTTGATAGCGATATGATAAAGTATTCATTTGATTATTTTAGAGATGGTAATTCTTGTTTCTTGCTCATGAAATATACTGATGCAATTACTAATTATATATAGAAAGGTATTTTTGTTTATTTTTTTCCCATGTTTTCTGTTTGAAATGCAGCATTTTGGGGAATCTTTATTTGCTAGACTTGGTTTCTTTAACTATATACAATGATTGTATCTGTTGATAAAGTTCAGTTATTGATGTTTATATCTTATTTTGAAATAATTATTTGGCTTTGACATCTCTTTAGTAAATCATGTTTCTTTTAAGTTTGTTTGCAATTTTGTTTAACTTGATTATTTGATGTGTTATTGTTTGTAATTATTAGATGGTTTGGACACATAAAACATCAGTCTTCCAATGATTCGGTTAGGAGGCTAGATATGTTTGATTTGGCTTTTGTTAAGAAAGGTAGAGATCGACCTAAAAAGACTTGGTTAGAAATATTAGAAATGACTTTTTTTTATTAGATTTGAATGAGATTTTGACTCTTAACTTAACACAATGGAAAAAAAGGGTTCATGTAAGCGATCCCACATAGTGAGATAAAGGCTTGATGTTGTTCTTGTTGTTGTATTGTCTTCTAATACTAGCAATTTTGCTGATCATTAAATTATTCCTGTAGGTGAGAGAATTAAAGAGCTCAAATGCTAGGAAACACTCAAGTGGCCAAAACAGCAGCACTTATCCTCAGCACCAGTCATTTAGTCAAAGTGGCAGTTCTCATTTCAGACCGAATAAGCTTGAAAGACAACCAAATGGGAGAGTGGCTTCTACTGTTAATATGCTGCACTCTGATCGCTGGCCTTTGGACTCCAGTGACATGCAAACTACTGCTACTCAAGCTGCTTCAAGAAGAAGAGAGTTCTTGAGTGCTAATCATTTGTTGAACTTTCATTATGACCCAGTTCATCGGTCTAGCCAACAACAAAGAATACCTCTTCCAAGAAGACAGCAAAGAGTGAAGCCTTACAACAAGGATCTCTTCCTCCAGGCAAACTACAAATTCGTTATATATGATTCAGGAAACTATTCCATTGAGTCAATTGATCCTGATAAAATGTTTCCATGGGAAGATGTTGTCTGTGTGAGGTATTTTACCCCGTTTCTGGTACAGTGTCCAATTTGCTTGGAAAGTCCTCTTTGTCCACAAATAACATCGTGTGGCCATATATATTGTTTCCCTTGTATATTGAGGTACTTGTTAATGGGAATTGAGGAACATAAAGGTGAAACTTGGAAGAAGTGCCCATTGTGTTTTTCAATGATATCATCCAAGGATTTGTATACAGTTAAGATTGAGAATGTTATGCAGTTTCGTGTGGGTGATCGTGCTGACTTTGTACTTTTGGCTCGGGCAAAAAATTCACAGATCCCCCTACCTAAAAGTCAAGATGGGGCAGGCGTTATGCCCACTAGCTCTGACAACACCTCTGACTTGTTTTCCAAATTTATTTTGAGCTCCGATGTTGAATTGTCCGTGCGAGATTCAAAGATGGGTCTTACTGATTGGTTATGTAAAGCAGAAGCGGGTATAGTTGATGACTTGGAAAAGCTTCCATATGTTTGTGCGGCTTTAGAGCAATTAGAAGAAAGGATGAGAAAATGGATGGAGGATCGGGTTTTTAATAAATGCCCCCCTCAATTTAATAGTTCGGCACTTTCAAGTAGTCCTAAAGTGAGGCGTCACCCTAATTCATTAAATCCCTGTTCATTGAATTCAAATTTAGATACAGAGCATGCTCACTCCAAAGCATGGATGGGTACAAGTCCTGAGAATGGCCAGATTCCTGTGAAGCTCGAGTTTTCTGAAAAAGTTAGTGGTGGTTCTCCTCCTGACGCAACTGTGGTTTCTTCAGAACTACTATATGATGAGGAGAAAGACTTAAAAAGGGATTCAAGTAGTTGCAAGGATTTTAGGGAACGAAACTCATATACTTTCTATCAGGTGCTTAATTTTCTTTTTGTTCAAATTGGATTATTCTACATTAATACATTATTGGTGTTATGAAGGACTGCTCAATTTAATAACCTGATGACATTGATGATTCTGCTATATTTTGTCATGCTTATTATTTCGTGTATGCTCACTATATTATAACTCTTTGCTCATTGAACTTTCAGGCAATTGATGGTCAAACATTAATCCTTCATCCATTGTGCATGAAGTGCCTTCTTCACCATTATGGAAGCTATGATATGCTCCCACCAAGGTTTATAATAGAAGCCTAGAGCCTTCTTTTAGCTTTTATGGAACAGTTTTAGCAATGCTTTTATTATGATGATTTTTCTGCCTTTTTTCTGTCTTTTCTCTAGCATTTATTCTTTAAAGCTTCAAATCTTCTTGCATCTTTGTGACATGTAGTTGCATGGATTTATTATAAATTGCTCATATATAATTATGGTGAAAATCTCCCCTTCCACTTTGCCTCTTACAAGTTCTAAAGCGCAAACATGGAACTTCTATCGCTGCCGGTAATTTCATCATATATATATATATATATATATATATATATATATATATTTTTATTGTGTTTCTTCTTGCAGCAAATTACTACCATAATTGCTCTTCCTATTATCACAACAATAGTCTTATTCCCTTAGTCTTAGTTCATTTGAAAGTAAAACTAACAACCCAATTCCAATGAGATAATTACAAAACATACATTCAACATATCGTTTAAATGAAATAATTATCGCAAATAGTTATAATTAGTCTGCACCTTCTTGAAGGTATGAGAAAAATTGGGTGTCATTTACTTGGCAGCGGACCTCAACAAGGCAATCACATGTTCAATGCTTGGGAGGAATAGGACTATGGTGATGCTCTGTTTATAAAACTCTATGGTTCCTTAAATAAGCGGCACATGCATGTTCCTTTATTCAACAAAGAAAAAATGAGATACAGTGAAACAAATGTATTCAAAAGTCCATGATGCTGTAAATCTATGAGATCAAAACTAGTGCTTGACCATAAAGAAAGGAGGACAATCCATCACAGAATACTTTAATCTACTTCAAGGCCTTTGGCAATATTTGGATCATTATCAATGCATCTAATACTGAAAAGATTCAACCTTCTTAAAAGGTTTGTTGAAAAATCTTGAATTTATGTTTGTATTTTTGGATTACTAGATTATATGTTCAGTTTGATTCTATAATGGTACAAATTAAAAAAAAGGAGGATTTACCTTTCCTAAATGAAGTCATTGTTATCATTTAAATTGATGAAAGGAGAAGTGGAGTTGTGATTACCAAATACCTCATAAAATGTTCGACCTTAGTGACAAAGGCTGCCAACATCACAAAAGTAACAAGCCTTTGTCCCACTACATGCGGTCGGCTATATGAATCCTTTTTCTCCTTTGTGTCCGTTAAAAGGATGCCAACATCAAACAATCTAATTCAAAACTCTCTTCTTTTCAACATAAGCAACCACATCTAACAAAGATTGGCAATGATGTTCCTTATGGGACACATATTACAAGAAGGCTTGATATATAAAAGAATTATATTGGATGTTTCATGCCAAGCCACTAAGCAAAAGTTAAACAACATAGGGAGGATAGGCAAAAGAATAGAGACATGTATATGTAACACATGTAAAGAAGATAACACCAAAGAATCACTCATTGAGTTTCTCAAAGTAGAAATGGTAAAGTTTAAAAAATTTGCTAATATCACTTTAAAAGATTCCTATGAAGGGTACTTGTTCTCTTTCATTCTTAGATATTTCCTTCTTAATACATGCTTTTAAAGTCTTAAAGATGCTCAATTTTAGCTCATGGATTATTGATTCATGAGTCAAAAATCATATTTTATAGGAAATAAAAAACACTTTCAAATGCCTTTTTTTTTTCGCATTGAACACGTGTTGGACGTTGACATGCTTTGATACTCCCCAACAACTGTTCGACACATCAGAAATTATCATTTTTTGTGTCAAATTGAAGTCATACGCTAACATAGTGGGGCACAAGCAGGGAATGTAGAGGCAAAAATGAAAATCGAACCATGCATTTGAGGGAATTAATTGAATTCAAAATAGAACAATCTAGTGATAAGAAGGAATTAGTATTCATATTCTCATAAAAAGCAACAACTGTCTACAATATCCATAATCACTCATCTTCATCAAAGGCATCTCACATCTTTGCCTCAACGCGGAAGCTCTCACATCTCCACCTCTGTATTGAAGTCGTCTTGAGTCTTCGCCTCGGTGTTCAAATTTCCCTGCGCATCCACCTAGGCATCGAAGTTGTCTCATGTCTCTCAACCTTAGTGTCAAAGTTGTCTCATTGTGCTCGATGACTGAGAATTCAAAAAAGTTTATTGAAATAAATATTAATATATAGGAAACAAAGTATCAGTTATAGTTTTTTAATCAAGGTTTATTTTAGCAATACATATATTTCATGTTATAATAATTAAAAAATTAATATTTACATCCTTTGATCAAGTCATATGAGAAGCTTAGTTCAAGATGCTAGGGTTTTGAGTGAAAGGAAATTGATAATGAATTAAAAATATTAAATTTATGACTTTGGATTCAGAATTAATGTATAATGTATTTGGATTTTATTTTATCTTCACTTTTTTTTTTCAATTCATTGAAGGCCCTAGGTGTGTATTAGTTTTACTTTTATGTTCTTAAGTTTTTTTTTTTTTTAATTGTTTAATAGGATTATGGTTTCTAAGATGGGCTCTAATATGATCGATAATAATCTCATGAAGTATTAGACAAAATATTTATTGGTATATGTTATCAAATTAGATAAAATTGGAGCAACTGGAGCTTGAAATTGTGTAAATTTCAATGTCATTTTTATCAATGAATGCTTAAGGTGCTTGCTCACTCACTCGGACAAAGCTAGGGCAGACATTCAATAATGCCTTAAAATAGCATCCACACATTCAAGAAGTGCGAAAGCTAGATGTTGAAGCTAAGGAAAAAAGAAAGTCTCATTTAAGAAAATCCTCATTCCTTCTTCTTGGCATATTGCTTCAAGCTCATAGTCAAGTGGGCATTTTTTTAGGATCAAAGGCCATGAACCAAAAAAGAGGGAAGTACTGGACTTTCTTTTTTTTATTAAGATTAAATATCTTAGGGAAGTACTGGACTTTAATGCTATTGAAAGAGCATTTAATTTGCAAGCAAGTTATCGGGTGTTCAGCAGATGTTAGTGTTTTCTCATATGCAGCCAACAACACTTGCTTGATATATTCCTTTTGGGGTTAGCATTGCTTCAAAAGGAAAACAAATTTTGAAAGAATGGTTGAGCCAATTGAAGAGATTTGGAATGAGAAGGGATTTACTATTATTTGTGATGGTCCGACAGATGCACAAGAAACCTCTAATTAATTTAATGATAGTTATAGAATTTGGGCCTATGTTTATAAAGGTTATTAATTGTTAAAAAGTGTATAAATATAAGTATATATTGTAAATTAAATTAAATAAGTGATTATGGGGTTGGGTTTAGATAAAGTGGTTCAAATAATTATTAATAATATACCTATTTACAAAAGTATATGAATTTTGATTAAGGGTTACCTCTGAAAAATATAATTGGATCATAGGCATAGTTGGTGATGTAAACTTCATAAAGACATTTAGTATAAATCACTCGATGAGATCGTCAATTTTTAATGAGTTTATGAAGTTAAAAAAGTTGGGCCATAACAAAGACTTTTTTTTCTTCAACAATTGTTATGCTTAGACGATTAATTGTTCCAAATTATGATGATTAATGATAGGTGGAGCATGTGTAAAGAAAATGATGTAGATAAAGCAAAATTTGTAAAGTAAAAAATATTGGATGATTTGGCGGTGGGACAAAATAGACTATATTATTTCTTTTATAGAGAAAATATATGACATGTTAAGAGTGGTTGATTATGATAGGCCTTTTCTCCACCTTGTGTATGACGTGGGATTCCATGATTGAAAAGGTGAAAGGTATAACATTTTGACATAAATAAAAGAGACAATGAGGAATAATAACAATGCTTCCCTTCACTTCTTAGTTCACTCTCTTAATCCAAGGTAAATTTTAAATTTTTCATCAATATTAACTTATCCCATTTCATAACTTAAAATCTTACTTATTAATGAGATTATTTTATTAGGTATTACATCCATGTTTGACTTGGTGAAGCTCCAAATTATGTTGCCCTATATCATAAAGATATGAAGGTATTAAATGAGAAACAATTGTTCGAAGAGGTTTTTTTGTAATTTTGAAGAGGTGTCCATGATTAATTTGGAGTTAGCCAATTTATTTTGATTTAATGGTGCTTTAACTGATGATGGTCGTATAACCTCTAAAGGTACTATAGATGAAAAGGCTTAGTTGATGATTTATGGTACTCGTTTCCCATTGCAAAGTATAGCTATTAGCTCAAACATATTCCTTCTACAAGTTCCTCCTATTGCAAAGGAAGTTAGTGCATATACTCTTTTATCAATTCACTTAAGAGGATCACGATCACTCTTCAACAAGGTAAAGATTCAATATTTGTGCATACTAATCTTCAACTTTTGTCTTGGAGGAATTGAGAATATACTCAAAGAGGGATTACATTGTTGGATATAGGTTGGGATATAATAACTATATTGGATGATATTTGAAATTATTTTGATGCTCCGTCATTGGAAATTGTGTTTTTTTCTTGATGAGGATGAGGGTACCATTAAAGAGAGCACGATTTAGTTCTAATTATGACCAACATTGTGTGTGTTAACTCCAATTAATTTGAAGTAGGCATTGGTTTTTATTTTTTAGAGGTTTTTTGACATTTTATAAGTAATATTGATATTAAAAAAACATATTAGAAACTAAAAAGTATTAATGACTTTTTTGTGATAAATCATTTCTTTGATTTTTAATTATGTTTTTTTTTTTCATTTATAATATAAAGTTTTATTTGTGAAATATATGTATATCATATAATTCTTCATTGTGTGATGTCTTTTATAGAGAAATTATATATTTCATACTAATGATTTATAAAATATAAAAATATGCCTATGGCATGACATGTCTTACATTTTGCAATTATGACATTTCCTTGTGTCTGTGTTGTGTCATGCTTGTATCCTTATGCTTCATAGAATATAGCCAACTACTTACATAAATTTAATTTTTGTACTCGTTGTCCTAACATATGATAAAGTTTCACGAGAATTGCTCTGGAGAGTTCTAGAAAAGAA